GTTTGTTTTGGTTTTTTGCCCACATAGTAATTGCTTCGGTCTTGGGCACTGAAGAACAGGTTAGCCTTGCGATTTCTGTGGTATTACTCTGTACAAATTCTTGCCGTCTTCTTTTGTGTATAATGCTACCTAAACATTCGGATAATACAGACCTGCTGGTAAATTTTTTAAAAACATTGACAGCAGGTTGATTCCATCTTATGGCAACCATATTTGTTACAGGGTAGAATTCTGCCCAGTAGGCTTTTCTTAGGAACCCTGGTAGTGTAGTGGTTACATGTTGGGCTGCTAACTACAAAGTCAGCAGTTCAAAACCAGCAGCCACTCTGTGGGAGAACGACTGGGCTTTCTACTCCAGAAAAAAGTTACAGTCTTGGAAACCTACAGAGGCAGTTATACCCTGTCCTACAGGGTCACTATGAATCCTTGCTCTCATTAAAGATCAAGGTCACTAAAAGGGCAAGTACAACATGAGTCTGCTGAGGTAAACTTAAAAAAAAAAAGCAAAGGGAGCACAGGGAAAAAGCTACTGTATACATACTTTCCTGGGGTGAGGTCCAGGTAGCATGGCAGGGGCCAGATCAAATCCAGGGGTACATATGGTAGCCAACTACAAAAGGTAGGGGGGAGACAGAAATGTGCAGCAGGGGAACAGGGCACTGACCAACCCAAGGGGAGGGTATTCTGTATATCTCCACAGGGAAAGAGGGACCAGACTGAAACCCGGTGTTCCTGGATGTGAATGCAGCGTGCCGGCATGCAGCCGGGAGCCAGGGGAGGAGTCTGAGGGTCCGACCCCAAACCCAACTACGTGAACAACTGCTCCTCCCCCCAGAAAAATTTACTTTAGAGGACGGCACTGAAGCTGCAGCTCTGGAAGAGGGATATGTCTGATCAGAGCACATGGAGCAAACGAAGGGGGAGGAAGAGAGAGTGGAGCGCATCCTAGCCCACCAAGCCCTGAGGATGATATCCCCGCTCAGAACAGCCAATGCACACAGTGGACCATATGGCTGATCCCTCGCTGATCCATGGCCCTACAGGGGACAACACTGGAGACACAGTGTCAGGATTGGCCCAGTCTGACCCCACCATGCTGAGGCAAAACAGTAAGGGTGTGCAGCGGGGAGCAGAGCAGAGAGGTCCCAAGGGAGTGCAAAGGATAGACTTTGGGGCCAAGGTGTGGCACCCCAATGGACTCGATGGGAGGACACTCCTAGAGGTGAACAAACAGACCTTGAACTATTTACAGGTTTTTCTTTTTGTTTCTTTATTTATTTTATTTTTTTGGTCATTGGTTTTCTTACTGTTGTCATCGTTGTGTTTTCTTTTGTCTCTTTGTCTTGCTACATCTTGTTTTTTGGTGTGTATATT